GTCCCAGGAAGCTGTAAAAACCATTCATACAGTGCAAACCATTCATACAGTGCAAACCATTCATACAGCGCAAACCATTCATACAGTTCAAACCATTCATACAGTGCAAACCATTCATACAGTGCAGCGAGGCTCGTGCGTGCGCAACGGGAAACTGGTTGTGGAGCCATAGGGAGTCACAGCTGGATCTCCCTAGTAAACATCAGAGGCATAACTAGAACCTTCAGGTGCAAGATGCAGGTGATAGAAACCATGAAAGGTCCTTTCCATCAGTCCTGGGGTCCTTCCCACTGATCCAGGGGCCCTTTACTCCCGTTGCAGGCCCATTTTAGCCCCGGTTCACCCTGCCGACTTATTGTGCGACTTGCGACGCACAAAGCCGTATTACAAGTCAAAACACATTCCTTTCAACGGATGCTATCTTAATCAATTGCCACTCAAGTCATGGGGACTATTGCACTACTTTTCTGCGACTTTGGTGAGATTTGAGTACCATAGATTGCAATGTTAAATCACAAAAGTCGCAAGGAAAATCGCAAGCAAACGAGGAAGTTACAAGCAAGTCATATGCAAGTCGCAAGTGAAGTTACAAGGGAATCACAAGCAAGTCACATGCAAGTCGCAAGCGAAGTTACAAGGGAGTCACAAGCAAGTCACATGCAAGTCGCAAGCGAAGTTACAAGGGAGTCACAAGCAAGTCACATGCAAGTCGCAAGCAAGTTACAAGGGAGTCACAAGCAAGTCACATGCAAGTCGCAAGCGAAGTTACAAGGGAATCACAAGCAAGTCTCATGCAAGTCGCAAGCGAAGTTACAAGGGAGTCACAAGCAAGTCACATGCAAGTCTCATGCAAGTCGCAAACGAAGTTACAAGGGAGTCACAAGCAAGTCAATGCAAGTCGCAAGCAAAGTTACAAGGGAGTCACAAGCAAGTCGTAAGCAGGGGCGGACACCATTTGGAAACTCAGGCACTGCCCGAGGGCCCGGGGTCAGTAGGGGGCCCCATGAGATGCCCCTGGTACCTTTTTCCAGGCTTTTTTGAGTTTATGTAAGGACACAGGGGCCCCATGATCCCCTATTGCCCTGGGGCCCCATGAGTGGTCAGTCCGCCCCTGGTCGTAAGCAAGTAACGCAACTTCGGGGTCCCAGCAGTGTCTACAGAATCTTTTGCTCCCCGCAGCTGAACCCTTTCACATTTTCTGCAGAAGGCCCCCTTCCTGCTGTCTTGGCCCCCTCCCCCACCGTGGCGGAATGCCAAAGACCGGTCACAAGTGAGACCTTTGCGATCCTGATAGTTCCACCACGGTAAACCAGCCCGGATGGGAACAGAACTGCATCCCTGGACATGCAAACAGTTACAGTATTTGTGTGTTGTGGCAATGTCTACTGAAATGGACGCATCAATGCATGTTACCACATGCCAACGTGTCTGCGCTATGTGCACTGCCATTTATTGTCAGTGACCCCCCCCCCCATTGCAATGTACAGTAGAGCACAATGCACCACAGCACATCACAATGCATCTACTATGCGCTGTGGTGCTGCATGTTTAAAAAAGCGTTGCATATATTTTGTCATCTATTAAGGCAGCTCATGAATGTGCTGCCTTAAAGCCACGCATGTTGGCGGTGGCCATACGGTGTGTGCATGAACAAACGCCTAATGGGCCCTCAAGGTGAATGGGGCTACCTCTCCATTTATTTATTGCTATATTTATGCCCCATAGTGTGGAACTAAGGCAGATTTAGGCTTCGTTCACTCGGGCGTACTCAAGCGTACACGCATGTAAGGGCCATGTTTGCCTACATGGGATGCACAGGAGTTCCATGCCTCTGTGTGAAGACAGTCACAGTCCCCACCTTCAACTTTCTGAGGAATAATAGACGGGTTGAAAATCGGCTGATTTTTTTGGCCCAAAAAAATTTGGCCGATTTTCACACTGTTAGTGGGTTAATTGGTTGGCTGTTTTTCGGGGTTTTTTCACAGTTTTTTTTATCGGTTATGTTGGAAACTTTGCAGCCGATTTGGACGATTGGCTGATTTTCCTGGCAATGATGGGCATATCGCCGATCGTTTTACTGATAAAAAATCTGCGCATGAGCCATGACCTGCAAAGTTGCCAGCATTCTTTTTACTGTAAATGCAGATATATATATATATACAGGGGCGGACTGACCATTTGGAAAATCGGGCACTGCCCGAGGGCCCGGGGTCAGTAGGGGGCCCCATGAGATGCCCCTGGTACCTTTTTCATAGGCTTTTTTGAGTTTGGGCAAGGACACAAGGGCCCCATGATCCCCTATTGCCCGGGGGCCCCATGAATTGTCAGTCCACCCCCTGTATATATATATATATATATATATATATATATATATAGTTTCTGAAAGTCCAAAATTAAATTGTATTCCAGAAAAGGTAATGAGGTTCTAAAAAGGTTCTTTAAAATTTTCTATTTTCCAAGCAAAGATAGGTTCATAGGAGTAGAAAAACAATTGTTTCAGCAGATGTCTGAAGAAGAAGAAGAAGAAGAAGAAGAGAAGTCCGCTATTATATTTTATATGAAGAAGTCTTGCGGTTGCAACAAATGTATCCATTTGTATCTAAATAAAAACATAATGTATTTGTATTGCTGTCACATTGTATGGTGTGCTCCCCTGTCTCTGTCAATTTGGTTTCTTGTCCCATTCTTTTGTGAGCATTGGAGGCACCATCGGCAACGGCACCAACCGATTTTTCGTTTAACGGCCGACAATTCGGCCGATAAACGGCCCGTCTATGGCCTGCATAAGGCTCCATGTACACGGGACATTTGGAAAACTCTTCTGAACGATGGAAACTGACTGCTGGAAAACATAGGTTAAAAAACGTCTGTTTAGCTGCATTTGCATACCGCCTTTATGCGCGTTTAGAAGCGTTTTTTAAAGATAACCTCAGGAGACCTTCCAAAATGCCCAGAATTCACTGAAAAACAGTAAAAAATTAACTATTTCAGACATTTTGAGAGGAATACTGTAGAGAGAGCAGAAGCAGAGAGAGCAGTATGTATTGAGATGACCTGTCTTTTTTTTTTGTGGTGTTTGGATGTGTTACATAGTTAGTCTGGCTGAAAAAAGACAAAAGTCCATCCAGGTAAACCATAGAAAAAAAAAAAAGTTGTAATCCTACACCCACAGTTGATCCAGAGGAAGGCAAAAAAACTCAGCAAAGCACGATCCAATTGCTCCTGCAGGGAAAAAATATTCCTTCCTGATCCCCCGAGAGGCAATCGGATATTCCCTGGATCAACTTTACCTATAAATGTTATATCCAGTTATATTCTGTGTATCCAAGAAAGAATCCAGGACTTTCCTCAGCAATCCACTGAGCTGGCCACAACCAACTCTTTTGGGTGTTCCAGCTCATTTCTGTGCAGAAATTATTGCAGCAGCGTCTAACGTCTTACCTCAAAGTATGGTGTACCGGGTCCATCTGAGTACCGGGAAAATGCTTTGCATGCATTTTTCATGATGAAAAAAAGGCTCTGGACAGCATCTGGAAATGTAAGAGTTAAAAATAGTTTCCAAACGCTTATAAACGCAGTTAGCTGCAAAAAAAAAATGCTAAAAAATTCATATGGGTACAGTGTTGCATGACCGCGCAATTGTCATTCAAAGTGTGATAGCGCTGAAAGCTGAAAATTGTCCTGGACAGGAAGGGGTGAAAGTGTCCGGACAGGAAGGGGGGGAAAGTGTCCGGACTGGAAGGGGGGAAGTGTCCGACTGGAAGGGGGGAAAGTGTCCGGACTGGAAGGGGGGGAAAGTGTCCGGACAGGAAGGGGGGGAAAGTGTCCGGACTGGAAGAGGGGGAAAGTGTCCGGACAGGAAGGGGGTGGAAGTGTCCGGACTGGAAGGGGGGAAAGTGTCCGGACTGGAAGGGGGTGAAAGTGTCTGGACTGGAAGGGGGTGAAAGTGTCCGGACTGGAAGGGGGGGGGGGAGTGTCCGGATGGAAATGGGGGGAAAAGTGTGTCCGGACTGGAAAAGGGGGGAAAGTGTCCGGACTGGAAGGGGGGGAAAGTGTCCGGACTAGGAGGGGGGGAAAGTGTCCGGACTGGAAGGGGGGAAAAGTGTCCGGACTGGAAGAGGGTGAAAGTGTCCGGACTGGAAGGGGGGAAAATGTGTCCGGACTGGAAGGGGGGAAAGTGTCCGGACTGGAAGGGGGGGAAAGTGTCCGGACAGGAAGAGGGAGGAAAGTGTCCGGACTGGAAGAGGGGGAAAGTGTCCGGACAGGAAGGGGGGAAGTGTCCGGACTGGAAGGGGGGAAAGTGTCCGGACTGGAAGGGGGTGAAAGTGTCTGGACTGGAAGGGGGTGAAAGTGTCCGGACTGGAAGGGGGGGGGAGTGTCCGGATGGAAAGGGGGGAAAGTGTCCGGACTGGAAGGGGGGGGGAAGTGTCCGGACTGGAAGGGGGGAAAGTGTCCGGACTAGGAGGGGGGGAAAGTGTCCGGACTGGAAGGGGGGGAAAGTGTCCGGACTGGAAGAGGGTGAAAGTGTCCGGACTGGAAGGGGGGAAAGTGTCCGGACTGGAAGGGGTGGAAAGTGTCTGGGACTGAAAGGGGGTGAAAGTGTCCGGACTGCAAGGGGGGAAAGTGTCCGGACTGGAAGGGGGGGAAAGTGTCCGGATTGGGGGGAAGGGGGGGGAAAGTGTCCGGACTGGAAAGGGGGTGAAAGTGTCCGGACTGGAAGGGGGGGAAAGTGTCCGGACTTGGAAGGGGGGAAAGTGTCCGGACTGGAAGAGGGGGGAAAGTGTCCGAAGGAAGGGGGTGGAAGTGTCCGGACTGGAAGGGGGGAAAGTGTCCGGACTTGGAAGGGTTGAAAGTGTCCGGACTGGAAGGGGGTGAAAGTGTCCGGACTGGAAGGGGGGGAAAGTGTCCGGATGGAAATGGGGGGAAAGTGTCCGGACTGGAAGGGGGTGAAAGTGTCTGGACTGGAAGGGGGGGAAAGTGTCCGGACTGGAAGGGGGGGAAAGTGTCCGGACTGGAAGGGGGTTGAAAGTGTCCGGACTGGAAGGGGGTGGAAAGTGTCCGGACTGGAAGGGGGGGAAAGGGGAAAGTGTGTCCGGACTGGAAGGGGAAAGTGTCCGGACTGGAAGGGGGTGAAAGTGTCCGGACTGGAAAGGGGGAAAGTGTCCGGACTGGAAGGGGGGGAAAGTGTCCGGATTGGAAGGGGGGAAAGTGTCCGGACTGGAAGGGGGGGAAAGAGTCCGGATTGGAAGGGGGGGAAAAGTGTCTGGACTGGAAGGGGGGGAAAGTGTCTGGACTGGAAGGGGGTAAAAGTATAAGATAACCTCAGGAGCCCTTCCCAAATGCCCAGAATGCACTGAAAAACAGTAAAAAAAAATTACTATTTTAGACATTTTGAGAGAAATAGAGAGCAGAAGCAGAGAAAACAGTATTTGTTGAGATTAGCTTTCTTTTTTTTTTTTTGTGGTGTTCCAGCTCATTTCTGTGCAGAAATTATTGCAGCAGTGTCTAACATGTTTTTTTTTTTCATGCGAAATCTCAAAGTATGGTGTACCGGGTCCATCTGAGTACCGGGAAAACGCTTTGCATGCATTTTTCATGATGAAAAAAGGCTCTGGACAGCATCTGGAAATGGAAGAGTTAAAAATAGTTTCCAAACGCTTATAAACGCAGTTAGCCGCGTTTACACACATTTACAAGCGTTTGGCATTTGAAACGCTGATAAAATCTACTCCCGAACGCAAGTTTTCTGCGTTCAAAAAAACAACTGTAAACTCAACTGCCTGTAAATGCCTGTAAAGGACGATGTGTACACGGACACACAGGAAAACATTAGGGAGATTCAGGGGCTGCTGGAAAAAAACCCGCAGAAAAGCTCGTAAACGTGAGTTTATCAAGTCTGTGGGAACAGCCAGCGAAGGGTTAACACGGGGATGGTTTGCTTAGGATGCTTTCCAGCTCACACTGCGGTTTAAACTTTTCTCTAAAAAAAAAAAAACAAACAATTCTCACTGGCAGCCTCTATTAATGGGGTATTATTGAGCAATAAAAATTGTCAGATCAGAAATAAAACAGAAATACAACATTTTATCTGGCTGGCCCGGGAGATTGCAGCAATTCCTTCTACTGGCTGGCTACACGGCCATAAAAGATCCAGATAAAACTCACGCGGCGTGCCAGGCGTCCACCCGGGGCCAACTTTTATTGCAGTCTTGGGTTGGGTAATGCTCACTGCTGTTTGGAAATAATAACTGAGCGAGAAGTTAGAAGATTGTCGAGGAACTCTACTATTGGGAAGGGCTATAAAAGTGTGACCCCCTCCTCCTGTCACATGATCACTTAGCAGTAAAAGCATGGTGCTATCATGGTGCCATAGATAACCTGCTTGCCTATTGGGTATTTGCTAGGAAATTTCTTAGACCCTCCATACATCATGTCTCCTCCTCCCATGCCTGTCTCCAGGACTTCTCCAGGACTTCCCCCATCCTCTAGAACTCACTCACAATCCATCAGACTGTCACCTACCCTCCTCACCTTTAGGCGCACCCTGAAAACCCATCTCTTCAGAGAAGCCTACCCTGCCCTCGCCTAATTGCCGATCTCCTCCACTCCTCCTACCACTCCATCCCCCACAGCTATTTCCTTCTGTGCCACTCTCCCCTCCCTCCTAGATTGTAAGCTCCATGGAGCAGGGCCCTCGAACCCCTCGTGTATTGCATTGTATTGTTATTGTACTGTCTCATGTATTGTCTCCCATTGTAATGTACAGCGCTGAGCGAACTGTTGGCGCTTTATAAATACTGTATAATAATAATAATACATCATATATTTTCTGAAAGAAGAGACCCTGGAGAATAAAATGGTGGCTGTTTCAATTTTTTGAGAGATTTTACCCCACAGTACTTTTTCCATGTTCTGAGACCGATAGCCAGCACCATTCAACCCAGGTAAAGAGGAGGAGGCCTCAAAACGGAACCAATGTGTGGTCAGCAGAGGCACCCATTTAATAACAGAATTAAAACACCATCAATGCGTTTTGTGGCTCTTCAGGGGCCACTTTGTCAGGAAAAGGTGTACAGTACACTTATTGGTGGGATCTTGGAGCGTTCCTTCGGCCCAGACTGTGCTGTTCTTTTGATCAATAGATACTGGCCTCCTGAAGAATCCACTTGGAAGCACTTTTTTATTGAATGGACCCCTCTGCTGACCACACTTTAGTTCCATTTTGGGTTGGGTCCTCGTCCTCTTTACCATTGTTTATCAGATCTGATCGCAGCCTAGCGCAGTGACCCTGGAGAATAAAATGGTGGCTGTTTCAATTTTTTGAGAGATTTTACCCCACGGTACTTTTCCATGCAACTAGATGTTCTGAGACCGATGGCCAGCACCATTCAACCCAGGTAAAGAGGATGAGGCCTCAAAACGGAACCAATGTGTGGTCAGCAGAGGCACCCATTTAAAAAAAAAAGTGCTTCCAAGTGGATTCTTCAAGACGGTTGGTATTTTTTAACCATAAGAACAGGGTAAAACACCATCAATGCGTTTTGTGGCTCTTTAGGGGCCCTTCATCAGGAAAAGGTGTACAGTACACTTATTGGGTGGGACCTGTGAGCGTTCCTTCGGCCCAGAGTGTGCTGTTCTTTTGAACAATAGATACTGGCCTTCCTGAAGAATCCACTTGGAAGCACTTTTTTATTGAATGGGCCCCTCTGCTGACCACACTTTAGTTCCATTTTGGGTCCTCATCCTCTTTACCATTGTTTATCGGATCCGATCGCAGCCTAGCGCAGTGCAAGAATTTCTGAAATACCCTGACAAGCATCAACCGTGTCCTAGCGACCGAATACCGACTCGTTCATCTGGAAAAAATACTCATGCAGCTCCTGCCCTCCCTCCAGTGTGGCTGTGCCTCCCACTCTTCGTTCATTGCTATCCCCTGAATCCCACTCACCACGCTGCATTGAGAGTGACATCAGCGGAGGCCAGGGGAAGGAAGATTCCTACATGGCAGGACTTTGGGTCCAGATGGTACAGTGGCTCGGTCACAATCCAGGGCCGCCATTTAGTGATGCCTGGTCTAAGGGTTTGTCTTCTTATGTAATTTTATTGCTTGTAGGAACTGGGGAGGGGCTTTGGGGTGGTGTGGAATACTCCAAAACGCTTGGACATAAATCTTCGGAAGGCACATTTCTAAACAACAACAGCAGTTTCTTTTCGCTCACAGCTGGGGACCATGAGATATTTTGTAAATCAGATGCAGCTAGACTGGAAAATTCTTTAGATGCAAGGCTGAGGACTAATAAACAACATGCAGAACAGATAGGCTAGACTGGAACAGTCTATAGCAGGGGTCTCCAAACTTTCTAAATAGAGGGCCAGTTTAGTGTCCTTCAGACTTTAGAAGGGCCAGACTGTGCCCAGTGGGAGTAAACAATGCCTGGTCTTTGGTATTAGGGGGAGAAATAGTTGTTGTCAATGGGAGAAATAGTGCCCCATTTTCCTTGCCAGTGAAAGGGATTATGCCCAATTGGTGTCATTGGAAGGAATAGTGCTCCATTGTTGGTGTCAGTGACAGGAATAATGCCTCAAGGGCTGGATAAAGGCAAGCAATGGGGCCACATCCAGCCCCAGGGCTGCAGTTTGGGGGACCACTGGTCTAAGGTTCACAGCTTAGGACCATGAAGAACTTGCAGAACAGATAGGCTAGACTGGAACAGTCTAGAGCAGGGGTGTCCAAACTTTTTTCAAAGAGGGCCAGATTGGATGAAGTGAACATGGTGGAGGGCCGAACATTTTTACGAACATTCTTTGAACCATTACAATTAAATGCAAATAAATTATTTTATGCCAAGTTAATTGCAAACGACATACTTTTCATTTCATAACATTGAGATCAACTGCCAGCTGAGTTTTCACAATGTATTGAAAATAAATAAAAAAAAAAACTTACCTGCACTAATGTGAAGGGTGAAAAAGGTAGCTGGAGCTGAAGTCTCTGCTCGGCAGCCGGGAGGGGAAGAGAAACACACTTCACGCTGGAAGCCCGGCCCTGACGTCACCGCCCTCTGTCGCTCCCAGCGCGGCGCAGTCACGCATGCGCACTGCTCTCAAGCAGAAGACTGTCTGCCACAGAAGGGAGGGCCGTGCGACAGCCGCAGTTACACAGACCAGGGAGAACGCGCCGCAGTCAGGCATGCGCACTGCCCTCTGCTCTCAAGCAGAAGACTGTCTGCCATAGAAGGGAGGGCCACATTACACAGAGCAGGGAGGGCTGTTGGAGGGCCGTATTAAACCGACCCCGGGGCCGTAAATGGCCCGCGGGCCGGACTTTGGACATGCCTGGTCTAGAGGTTTATGGCTGAGGACCATGAAGTGACTTGCAGAACAGATATTTATTTTATTTATTTATTTCAGGTACTTATATAGCACCATCCATTTACGCAGCGCTTTACACATACATATATTGTACATTCACATCAGTCCCTAACCCTCAAGGGGCGTACAATCTAAGGTCCCTAACTCACATCCATACATACACATACTAGGGACAATTTAGACAGGTGCCAATTCACACTACCAGCATGTCTTTGAAGTGTAGGAGGAAACCAGAGTACCCAGAGGAAACCCACGCAGGCACAGGGAGAGCATGCAAACTCCAGGCAGGTGGTGCCGTGGCTGGGAGTCAAACCAACGACCCTAGCATTGCCAGGGGGAAGTGTTAACCATTTAGCCACTGTGCTGCCCGGTGGCTCTAATCATGGAATCCTGGAACAGGATCAGTCCATAGATGCAGCCTCTTGTAGATGGCCCAGCATCCACTTCCAGGGGTACCGGGGCAAGCAACCCCCTCTTCCTCACTGATCCATTCCTTCAGGAGGGAGAAAGAAAATCTCCTCAGGGCTCCAAACTATTTGACAGCTTTCCCAGTCTTCATCTGGGCACACCTCCCCAGAGATTGGCTAGATCCTGCTCAATATTTAGGATGGACATTTAAATTCTCACCCCCTAATATGGTAGAAGTTTTTAACAGCTTTTTCTAACATGCTAACAGTCTCAAGAAATCTGTAATTTGGCATCCCTCATCTACAATTAAATAATGTTAGCAATCACTTGAGTCATACTTGTATCCAAGTGGGAGAAAGTGAGAAAATGTACCTTAAGTGCAATATATCCAAGGAAGACTGGTAACATATCTGGTCCATGATTGCTTCAATTAGTATCAATACAGTAACAATCGAATCCCCATTTAGGACCATAGCGAGATGGTTCATGGTTCCTTCACGACTGGCACATCTTCATCCATCTTTTTCTA